AATTATTTCCTAAACCCAAACAAGCAACAATCAAAGAAAGTCCTCCCCTTGCTTTACTCTTCTCCTCTGTTCATATGTGTTCTGAAGGCAGAAGGCACTGGTTCATTTGTCTTTAAGTGAATACACAACATTTGGATAAAGCCCTTGTCATGAATGAATATGCAGACCACAGACTTGCCCTGGTTTGTAGCAACCTCACTGGGAACAATTCCGCTAGATGCCACTCTCTGCTTGTCAGGAACTATTAGTTGGAGAACAGCACAGAGACAGTGAGCTGCTGACAGGCTTTCTGAATTAAGGCTGTGGTCAGCACCACTGCAGGGGCATGGCCCCAGCATACAGCACAGGCTGAATTATAGTACAGTCTAGAAATGAGCAAACAAACTTATTTCTACTCTGAGTTACTCCTGTTCAGAGGCTCCAGGGAGCCAGTCATAGGCACATACATTCCTAGTGGGGTCCTTGCTCATTATCTCTACTTTGGAGGGGAAACGAGCTCTGATTAGCTCTTAGCTCAAATCTGACAGTCTTATGTTATATATGTGTTATATGTGTGCACGTGTGAACGTGTATGTGATTTCAACCATCTAACTCATATAGAAAGAGAATATTCAAAATGCTTGAAATCTACTTGAAATTATATGGTATATTTTTACATTTACTTTCTTGCTTGAGCTCCATGAAATCATTGTGAGGAAGGTATTTTGAGGAAATAAAGATTTAGAGATTTAAGGTGTTGTGTGACTTTAAGTAGGTTATATTGTCTGAACTCCATGTTTTCCTCTTTGTTTAACCTATAAAACACCAATTTAGTTGTATAGCAATGGTATTTTATAATTAATTTGTCCCAAATCATAAATCCAGAAAAATATCTAAACCTAGATCTTCATTCTCTGACCTCATTGCACAAACTTTTGGATAACATTGTCAAAGAGGGTGACACCAGTAGTCGTTGAGGACCCACAAATTTTGTTCTATGCATCTGGGGTAATAAGTTCTGCAAACACTCTCCACATTGCTATGCATTTGTAAAGCCTGGGCAGTTTGTATAGATTGACCCCTCCATGTGGTCACGTTAGGGTTCTGCTGTCTTGACCAAAAACATTCCCATAAAGCCATGCACCAAGGGTTTCAGAGTCCTGATGTGATTAGAGTGCTTCTCTATAGATGGCCCAACTGTGCCTCAGCAGGTAACATTAGTCTGCTAAATTTCTAAGGTGTTCACATCTGAATCCAAAAGCCCTTAAGTTCAGTCTATCTGCCTCCCCTCTTTGACAGTAAATGGAACAGAATTTTCTTTGAAATATCCATAAGATGTAAAACTTGCACAGAATGACAGTCAGCTAAGCTGTGAATTGGAAGGTCTTACCCTAGTTCTAGATATTAGGTGACCTTGGGAAAGTCATGTTACCCTGTGAACCCTAGTCTCCACACCTTTCAAGAAGATACAGCCAATTAACTTGTCTCTAAGTCAGGTATTATAGTTTCAACAGGTCTTGACAACCATCTAGAGGATGCATTTAACTGTGTTCTGATAGGAGTCATGGACCTGGCCACCTTGATTTGGTGGCCGACACAGCTGTGGGGCACAAGACTCTGAATTCAAGGGAGTACTCTAAGTGGTTCTTCCAGGAGTGGTCTGTCTCAATGGTGTCAGAAATACTGCAGGGCAGAGGGTACTTCTAACTCAGGCCATGTAGATATTTGTTTTTCTCTAGGGAACCAGATACAAAAAATGGGTATTTTAGCAGGTATAACCACTCTCTCATCTAATGTTTCTTTGCCAGGCCAACTTTATGTGCAGATGATGACAATGGCTTCTGATTCTAATTCCCTCCCCCATTATTCTACCCTTCATTCTCACCTATTACAGTCTGTCCTTCAATATTCTGTCCTTCATTTCTACCCACTAGAATCCATATATAGTCTTCTGAAGATCTTCAAACCCCAAGTAACCAACTGGAGGCTCCTAGCTGTTTGGGAGATGAAGTCCTAACTCACTAAGCACCCAAATTCTTATCTTTCATGGTCATCCACACCAACTTTCTGCCCCATGTGTGGTGCAGTGGTCTTCACCACAGCATGTGTTGCTCCTATCCCGATATCCCATCCTCTTCCTAGTATGCTTCCCTCCTGCTCTCCATCTGCACCTGCTATGGAAATTCTGTTGATTTCTGAAGCATAGGTATTGAGCCACCTTCTTTATAATAGTCTTTTTGAGTATCCTCCTTAGTTTGAGCAGACTATTATTCCTTCAACTGTAGCCCAGCACTGCAATGAGGACATTTCTCTCTTCTGACTTCATGGTGTCCTTATCTCTGTCTCCACACACCAGGTGGCACCTGGTGGTAACTCATGGTGGTGCGTTTCTGTGTTCTTCACAAGGCTCCAAACAGAGGAGGAACTCTCTTGGAGTGTTCTGTAGTCTTTACTCACAGAAGGCCTGACTGGGTAAACAAATTTAGCATGTCTGGGCTAATTAACTCCTGACATTCTTCTCTATTTGCAAAATAGAAGAATGAAAACAGGATACCCTGTATCCCAGGATGTCGTAAGAAACATTTTTAAATGAATAGTTGTTGACTAAGAAACAAGATGCACAGGTGCACCTGCCGGCTTAGATTAAGAAAACTTCCTTTAAATAATCCAGCAGGCTTTCTTCCTTCTGTGAAGGGTTTCCTGACAGACATCCTCAAATAGGCTTCTCATAAATAAATTGAGTGAATGGTACAAAGAATCGGACACTCTGTCAAGTACCTCATGTATATTGTTTTACTAATTTTCACAGACACCTTACAAAAGAGTCACCATTAATCTTGTTTCATAGATGAAGAAACTGAATTGAAGAGATGAAATACTATAGCTAATAAATTGCCACCTGGTGTGAAGTCAAAGCATATTTACTCTCATTACAAACATCCTTTGCTGCGGATGCTTAGTATTCCAGGGGGTTTTAGTTGTTGCCTGCAAGCCAATAGTCTAAGGAGACTAAATTCTTGAGAGGGGACACTGAATGAATTTTCGTATTTGTATCCTCAGTGTATGGTATATAGTAGATGTTCCTTAAAAGTTGAATGAATGTTGACTGGAAGGACAGAAATAAATCACAGACTGTGACATATCCTAGGTTGGGTCATGGTGAGAAGTGATAATGCATTTCATCTACCAAGAAAGAGGCAGAGAATAGAGAGAGCCCTTTGGTTGCTATCAAGAAGGCTGAGCAGAAGAGGTTTACTGTAAGGTAGTAATGACACATCTCCTCAGCATCCTCTATGGTACCCATGACCTGTACAAGCCTCTCATCAGAAACCAATAGAGCAGACACAATGTGGGGTTAGACCACTTGCTGGCTGCAATCATATACATCTGCCTTGATCACTGTAAGAAAAAAGGGAATTTACTGAGAATCTATGGGTGTTCACAGCATATCTATAGAACCAGATTTAGAATTCACAAAACTCCTGTGGAGGCAGTGGCAGTGATATAGAACAAGAGACTAGGAAAATGGCAGTCAAGACTCCTACTTAACAGCTTGCATGAGATGGGCCACACATTGAGGACTCCTAGAATAAGGAAACTCAGAGTATGAGGTACACAGAATCCATAGTGACAGGCAAGAAAGGGGTCAGAAATACTTTTTCAGAGTTATTAAAAAAAACCCAAGTTGGCTTGGCCTGGAGAAACATGAGACATACACTTTTAAAAGCAAGATTTGACCAGGGAGCAGTAGTGCACGCCTTTAATACCAGCACTCAGAAGGCAGAGGCAGATGGATATCTGTGAGTCTGAGGCCAGACTGGTCTACAGAGTGAGTTCCAGGAGAGCTAGGACTGTCACACAAAGAAACCCTGTCTCAAAAAGCAAAACAAAAAAAAAAAAGAAGAAAGAAAGAAAGAAAGATCTGAATAACTAAACGTATAGAAATTGCTAACTTAAATCTACTGATAGCTTCTAGGAACATCACATTTTCCCTGGAGTACAAAACAAACCCTAGGAACACAATCACTATTGAGAATGAGTTCATTGTATCCTGGGGAAGAAGAGGTATTTCCAGCCATTGATCAGTTATTTTTCAACATTTGTTGAGAACTTTAACAAGTTTGCATTGTGTTTGATTTACACATAGAAAAGAAGAGAGATGGGGGAAGAAGAGGAGGAGGAAGGGAAGGAGAAGAAGATGGAAGAGACTCTAATTTCTATCTGGTTCCAAGAAGGAACCTAATAGCCCTCTGTCCAAATTATTGTCTCTTAGCAAAAAACTCCAAGAACTTCAGAAATGTCCCGAACCCCAGCTTCTGGTTTGTGCATGACTCCCCCTCCAGGTGCACACTGCCTCCCTGGAGTGCACAGATGAATCTTGCCTTGTCTTTGGGAGATTTACTTTGGCCTGGCTTTAGGGACAGCGTGCAGTGGGATGTGAGGGAGGAGGAGGTGCTGACCACAGCAGAAGGACCAGTGTGATTCCTGTTATGTACATTCTGTGTGCTTCACACTGATGCTTGAGTCAGGGACTGGATTCCAAAGGCAGATAGCATACACTAGGGAGAGTGTGAATGGAGAGCTGACCTCCTTCAAATTCCAGCTCAATGTTTAAGGTTCTTAAGACATTAGCCAAGTGCCTTGAGTCCCCTGGCGCCTCAGCTGCCTATTCTAAGGGTAGCTATCAGTTGCTTTCTGAGTCTCATGAAGCATGAATGAGAGAATGCATGGGAAAAGATTATTTTCTTTTTGTAAATAGGCATCAGTGAGACTTTTATTTCACTTCATGGAAGGAAGTTGGCACGCAGCTCATGGCTATGTTTCGTGTTAATCAGCTTTGTGTCCTTAAGTTCTGGCCTACTGCCTAGGTTACTAGAGCTCAGCAAATGTTTATTGATGAAGAAATGACAGAATGGTTGTAATCTTTGCCTGGAATTTCTTTGATATTTGATTCCAAGAATCGGAAACTACATCTGAAGTCATCTGCCCCATGCCTCTGCATCTGACCATACAGGAGAGGCCATTTGGTGTGGCAAGACTGCTGCTCAAATGACCAGGTCAAAGAACCTCGCTGCTGGTCAATAGAGTCAACAGCACCAATGGGATGCAAGGAAGAGCCATTCTGGTCCATCTTCAGGTAAGGCAAGTTACTTTCAACACAGGCCCTTTTAAGACCCCTCGCCTCCAAAGTAATTTTACCATCTGTATCTTCCTGTTGGTTTATGGGAAATGACTCTTTAGCCAATACTTCTTTCCTTAACAAATGAACAAATTTTTGCAAAGACCACTTGTTCCTAAGCTAGTTGTTTGTATTTTTATGTAAATCTATAGAATGATTGAGCTGGGCCTATTCCAAACAGATTAGAGACATAGGTCACAGATGAGGGGACTCCTGTATGAATGTGAATTTCAGAGAAGTGGCCATTAAGTCTGGGGTTAAGGCTTTTCTGGATGGCAAGTCTAGCTGGATCTCTATCAGTTGCTGCTTACAACTTTTCCCATGTTATCAGTCACACTCGTGTTTTGTTCCTGAATTGACTGGTCAAGTAGAGAAAAAATTATTGGCTCAAGAGAGTCTTGACACACAGATAAGACTCTTTCAGTGATGAGCTAGAGTTTCTGTCCTTGTGAGGATCACCGTAGCTTCCATTCTGTGATCCAAATTGTCCCTTGGCAAACCTTAAATTGATAGCTTATATAGTGTTTGGAGGGGATTTGAAAATAATTCAAATATGTGGTTTTATGCTCCAACTTCTTCCCATGTCCAGCAATGTACTTGGATTATCATCTGCATTTTCTAGGATTCTGGAGTACTTTTCACTCTTTAAAAGGTACTAATTTCAAATGACAACACATGCTTCCTTTTCTAACCCTTAGTAGTCCCAGGTCACCTGCATTGTTCTGTATTCTATTAATATGTGCTATATTGTCAGCAAAGCTAGAAGTATCTCAACGGAGTCTTGCTGAAGGCCAATGGAGTGGATGGAAGAAGAGGTTGAAGCAGGGCCAGGTGCCAGGTTTGTGGGCTATAGTCATCATAGAGGGTTTTGTCTCGGGAGAATTGTAAGGCACTAGAGCTAGAAGTGTTTGATTAGAGAATACGATAGTAGCATCTGAGAGAAGGAGGGAGATTGGTATCACAGTCATTTTGGGAGAGCTAGGGCAGTCTCAAACATCTTGAAAACATCCCTGGGTGGGCCGGAACTCCAAGTCTACACACTGATGCTGTCTACGTGAGTCCCTGAGCTCTCAGCATGGTATATGATTGACTCCTTGGAATGTGACCAGATCATGTCCTCTCACTCACTCTCAAAAGATAAGACAGGGGAAGCAACGATGGTGGGTGGGTGGGTGGGTGGGTGGGTGGGTGTTGACATATTGCCTTCCCCGTATGGTCAGAGGGACTAGTAGAATGGTTAGGGGATGTTATTTTTTTGCAGGAAAGACGTGGCGTTATCTCAGGACCATCTGGTTGCAGTACGAATGAGAAGGGAAAGGAGGTTGTGAGCACTGGTCACGTAGCCTTGCATTGCTATTTGCAAACACCAACAATCAAGCCATTTCCTGCCAGAAGGTCAGGCAATAGCTTAGTCTCAGGAAAGAATGGGGCTTCAAGGAACAAGAGCAAGAACCTGCAGCGGCTGGAGGGGCCACTCAACAAGAAAACTTTGAAACACTGAGATGTGTGGAGCTTCTCGGAACATGGGCGCAGTCTCTAGATGCAGTGAAAGTGTGCATGATCTTCCGACTGGCCTTTCCACAGAAGACAGACCTGGATTCAGCTGAGCTGATGCTAGGAATCAGGGTCAGATGACGTCTGTGGCTCCTGCGGCTCATGTTCTATCCTTGCCTCTTTTTAAATCCACATTGATGATGAAGGAAGGGTTGGATTAGCCCGCAATTTTAAGGTCTTTGCGATCTTCCACACAAAATGCAGATTTGTGGCTACTCTTGAAGCGAGGGAGGGCCATCTGGGTTGATGTGCTCACACAGCAACATCTGGCTGCAGCTGGGCAGCTGCTGTTTCCAGAAGCAACCACATACTGCTGCCCCACATTCCTCACGGACCACTTCACTCAGTCTCTGTCAGCCTCATGTTTGCAGCTGCTGCTCCAGAACACAACAGTAAAGCAGGATGGCTGGCACGCACGTGTCCCAAATGCGGCTTTATCCCAGAACCTTCCTGCAGAGTGCTGGCAGCACGTAGGCCTTTAATACATATTTGTTTAATAACAGGGAGGGAGGGAACACAGCTCTGTCAAAGCAGAGCAGATCTGTGTTTAAACGCAAGCTGTTTGATCTTGGGGGAAGTTATTGAATTGTCTAAGCCTCTGTTTTCCTCATTCGTAAAGCCAGGATAAAAACACTCATCCTTTTGGGCAGTCCTAGAGAATAACGCGGCCACCATATAATGGTCTCCCATTCAAATATATTAAAAGCATGTTTACTTAAAGAGCTGTATTCTATGGATCTCTGACTGGAATAAAGTAAAAATGCACATTATTTTAATCAAGTCACCAAGAGAAGTGAGGTGAGTTAGAAAGGAATCCCACACTGTGATAGGTAAAGGCGGTTGTCTCACAGTAAGGGCTCAGTGGGCAGAGAACAGGGTTCTCCCCTCAGGACAGCAGCATGGTTTCCAGCAGTAGAGAGGAAGCTGCAGAGGAAACTGTAGGTTAGGCAGACCTTAGAGATAAACACTTTTAACATGTATTGAGCACTTTGCTGGGCTTCTAAACTTATCGGGCACCTCAACTGTCTTCGCCACAAAAGGAAGACGATTTTGCCTATGGTGTGGGGTTCCATCCGATAATATACAGATAAAATATACAAATGCAACATGCTGGTCACATTGGCCAGACAAAAGGATGCTAAGAGAGGGAAGACGTTGAAGCCTGCTATCCTGAGCACAGCACTCTTCACTCTGTTACCTTCCAGGCCATCTGCTTTCTTTTAGGATTCCTTTCCTGGTAAGTGAGTGAGTTTGCTGCAACAGGAGATCCTGGTGTGTGGTACCCAAAGTCCCATCTGTGTCCCAGTGGCTGCCAGGGTTAGCTGCTGATGGCCCATCACCATATTCCTCTTTAGAATCCCCCTCTCAACCAAAGATAGCTGCCTAGCCAAGGTGATGCATACCCACTCCCTGGAGGCACATAGCTTCAAGGATCAGAGTGATTAATTGGGGACAATCTAAAGGGCCATCCCCAGTCCAGAGATCCCCAGGGGATGAGTTGGAACATGTTTCACTACAGTCTGCTTTTCTTTTTGCTTGTCCTGTTTCTTTTCACCCTTTTAGCTGTCCCAGTCGGTGCTTGCCAGGAGTTCCCTGGGCACGAGTCTTCCTCTCAGTGTCTGTTTCTAGGCAACCTGACGGAGGCTCCGACAAGCAGTTTCGATTTTTGTCTTTCTGAGCTCAAAATGTATTTGGCTTGCTGTATTTGGGTTGAATTATAAGGAATTGGCACCTGTAATCAAAAAAGGTCAAATATTTCTTCCTGTGACACCCTTAACATATCCTCTCCTGAGAATTCTCATGTGAGGACCTTGAAACTACAGAAAATTAAGGGAAATATTTTCCTCAAGGACACAAAGCAAATGTCATACCTCATTCTGAGGAGACAAAGGAGCATTAAACAGTCCACAGTCCTGTCTGCCGTGCCTTTCAGGAGTTCACCTAGGAATCTGGATGGAAATCCTGTCTCAAGCCTCGAGGACATGTGTACAAAGGCCATGAGGTTATTTCCCCACACAGCAGTGGGCAGAACTATAGAGGTTTAGGTCTATAGAGGTTCCTTCCCCACACAGCAGCAGGCAGGCCCCTGGAGACTCCTTACCCACAGAGTAGCAGGAGGATTATGGAGGATCAGGCCTATGGAGGCTTCTTCCCCACAGAGCTGTGGAAAGGCCTACAGAGGCTTCGTTTTTTTTCTCCAGCAAGAGAAATAGACTTGGGTGGATGCTGCTTCTGTCCCGGGAAGAGGAAACTGTCAGAATCGTTTGGGACAGGGACAGTTAGTATCATCTTTCAGTACGTTCACTTGATGGCAGTTTCCTCCCTGACGTCAGGTGTCTTTATGCCAGGCCTGGAGAGGGGAGCCCATCTTTTCCTGTAGAGATGTAGAGATCTTGGCCACTGCAGGAAGACTGTGGCTGTCCTTTCAGAAGTGGGGAGGTGTGCTCAGATCCTCTGAGTGGGGTTGAAGCCCCTTCAAAGGCAGCATGGGATAAGGAGCTGAAGCTGGCGTTTGCACATGCTGTCCCTAGAGACCCAGACAGAAAGTCCTATGAATTTGCTGTCTGGTCCGCAGCTGCAAGTGCAGATCAAGGAACCTACATTTGCCCTTTAGGCAGGGAGGAAAGCACAGTTGTCTGGATGCAGGGGAGGCCTTGGCATGGCTGTGGACTGGGCTATGAAGAAGAGAGGTTCCTGCCTGAAGGTCTGTGTTACAGTGTTTCTAGAGATTCTTAAGGGTCCCACAGCATGCGTTTTCTTCTGGTAGGAAAACTGACTCTCCTGGATGAAGTTATTTCAGATCTTGAATCTATATTCTCTCTTTTGTCAAGTGCCCAGTTGGGAGGACTTGGTGAAGTCACATATGCAGAGCCCACCGCTCAGCATACATGCCCTCTAGGGACTGCACTCCTTGCCCCCATTCTCCTGGGTGTCTGACTTTGACACGGTAATCAAGCACCTACAACAAAAGCCACCAAGGCTTGGAGCTGCTACTGAGAACAGACTGGACCACGTTGTGTGTAAGCTGGAATTACTATCACAGATAGGAAAGGTGCCCTCCCCCTTCAGGTACTCCATATGAGCTTCCCCTAATTCCCATGGGCATCCGGGGCACACTAGAAGGAACTAGTGGAGCTGGTTTCTCTCTTTGGTTTGCCTTTATTGCAGTAAATTGTGGCTCACTGAATGGTTACCGCGCGCACTGTCCCTTATACTGAGCATATGCTCCCCATGCTCAGTAATGAGAGAGGCAGCTCCATCATGTGTGATGAGAGTTTTGTGGAATGGGGATGTTGGAGAAGCAAAAGAAAAGCAGGGCACAGGCGGACTGGGGAATGGGAATATACTCTGGTAACCCTGACACTTGGTGGGTAGAGTCAGGAGTTTGAGGCCACCCTAGCCTTCATTAGGACCTCCTATTCAAACACACACACACAGACACACACACACACACACACACAGAGAGAGAGAGAGAGAGAGAGAGAGAGAGATGCCAAGGTTTGCATTTTGTTGTGAAATGCCTTCCTTGCCTTCTCTGTCTGTAAGCCTGAGTTTCTCCATGTCAAAGAAAACAGAGTCTTAGCCTTTAACATTTTCCTTGATTTGAGGGAGTTACCTCTTGAATTAATCTTTTCAGTCAACAAAGGCCTCTAAGGTGGCCTCAGAATTACTGAAAAAAAAAAACAGCTTTGCTCCTGGAGGTGGAACTCTTCCTCAGGATTTCCAGAAGCTTCCTTGGGGATTTCCCTCCAGACATGCTCTCCTTCTGTGGAACAGGCCAGGGCCTGCCAGGCTTCTTTTTCTCTAGAAAGACCCTTGAAAAACGGTGATTGCCTTCCTTCCTTGTTCTTCCCCTTCTCTGCCCCTCCCTCCTTCCCTTCCTCCTTCTCTCCCCCATCCTCCTTTCTCATTTCCTCTCGTATTCCCCTCCTCATGTCCTTCTCTCTTCCTTTTTGTATTTTACCTCTCTGAAACATAACAACAACAAAAACAGAAGCCCTTACCAGACAGAAGGCTAAAGCAGGAGTACTGTGAGTTCAGTTGAACGATAGATGTAGCAAGTTCTCATCTCAAAATCAAAATAAAGACCAAAATATCTCTTAGATCTGGTTTTACTACTCTAGTATTTATGTGCTTGGGCAAGTTGTCCAATATCTCCAGGCCTCAGATTGTATCTCTTAAAATGTTTGAAGTGACTTTTAGCATTTCTTTCATGCTAAAATCAAAGTTAACACTAATGCCAGCAACAATAGGTAAGACTTTAGCCGTCAGAGTCAGTCATGAGGCAGCATGAAGCCCATGTTTCCCACTTCAGCACCATATATGTCAGAAAAGCCACTCTGCTGCTCTGCTTTTCTAGCATGGGGAATAGTTTTTGATGTAGAACTGACCTGACCACTGTCACTGTGTGTTTGCTCTAAGCCATCTGCAGATGTTGACTCGGCTAATGGGCAAAATAGCTCTGTAATGAGACCCCATAAACCTTTGCCTTCTTCTCTGTCTGGAAGGTTCTTACTTGTTTATTTCTTTTAAATGATCTTTTTAGGCTTTTCTATTTTATTTTATGTGTGTGAGTGTTTGCCGTTGTGTAGTTATGTATACCACGTGCATGCCTGGTGCCTGCAGACGTCAGAAGTGGAGTCAGAGCCCCTGGAACTAGAGTTACAGGTGGTTGTGAGCCACCATGTGGGTACTGGGAACCAAATCTCAGATCTTCTGCAGGAACAAAAAGTGTTCTCAATTGCTGAGCCATCTTTCCAGCCCCCCTTGTTTGCTCAGTATAAGTTTAACTCCATGACTCCCAGTTTGAGCTCAATTATAAATGCAATATAAGAGGCTTCTTGGTTTCCAATCTTTCCTTTAAAAGTATATTGTAAACATTGTGGCTAAGAATATGATATTAAGACAGACAATCTTTGTACACTAGAACTATGCGAGTTTTTTTTTTTGGTTTTTTGAGACAAGGTTTCTCTGCATTGTTTGGAACTCGCTCTGTAGACCAGGCTAGCCTCGAACTCAGAGATCCACCTGCCTCTGCCTCTGGGATTAAAGGTGTGCACCGCCAATGCCCAGCTGAGTTTTTGTATTTTTGTTTTTCCAGACAGGATTTCTCTGTGTAGCTTTGTAGACTGGGCTGGTCTTGAACTCACAGAGATCTACCTGCTTCTGCCCCCCCTCCAGTGCTGGGATTAAAGGAATGCACCACCACCACCCAAAACAATGGGAGTTGTTTCAAAGTACTCAAATGAGTGTTGTCTGTTCCAACTAAATAAAAGCGGAATCTCTGAGGATGGGGCAAGATAGGATGTGTTTAAGAGTTCCCCTGATTATTCTAACAGCTGGCCAAGACAGACAATCACTATGCTACATCATGAGCCCATGATCCAGGCCTGACTAATGCACCATGAATAGATTCAGGTAAGAGGTTGATGATGGTGACTCTGCAGTCTTATCATTCATCTATACTTCCCTAAGTCACAGCTGACAAATGTGCCTCAAAATTATAAACACACTATTTTTATCCTGTTCCTCATCAGTGACCCTATCAAAGAGCCCCAGCAATGACTCTTTCCATGACTAAATGCTTAGGTATATTATCTAGGTTTTGGTGCATGGTAATAGTGTGAGATTAGCATTTCTGAAGCCCAGATATTGGAAAATGAAAAAGTGCCTCTTTTCAGTTTTCTCAAATTTTACTCTATACTCTACGAAGAATATTTTGTTTTAAAAAGCTCCTCATATACATAAGCTTTTTTAACTCTCTGATCTGTATTTTAAATGTATTTGGGACTCAATGTGAACT